TTTGTTGTTAAAAGAATTTGACATTGAGATAAGGGACAAGAAAGGGATTGAGAATGGAGTAGCAGATCATCTCTCAAGAATCAGGATTGAAGACAGCGTCCCCATTGATGATTTCCTGCTAGAGGAGAATATATGCCTCATTGAGGCTAGGTTGCAGTCTCCAGATGTGGAAGAACCGCAGTTTTCTTGAAGTTGAAGTCTTTGACTGCTGGGGCATTGATTTTATGGGACTCTTTTCTTCATCTTATGGGAACAAGTACATCCTGATTGCAGTGGATTATGTCTCTAAATGGGTGGAAGCAATTGCCTGTCCACACAATGATGCTGCAGTGGTCCTGAAACTGTTCAAATCCATCATTTTTCACAGGTTTGGAGTGCCACGGATTGTGATCAATGATGGTGGGAAACACTTTATCAATAAAGTGTTTGAGAAGCTGCTGCAGAAGTATGGAGTTCATCACAAGGTTGCTACACCTTATCACCCTCAGATAGTGGTCATGTTGAAGTTTCCAACAGGCAAATCAAGGAAATCCTGAAGAAGACAGTAGGGAAGACAAGAAAGGACTGGTCTGCCAAGTTAGATGATGCACTTTGGGCCTACAGGACAACATTCAAGACACCACTTGGCGCCACACCATTCCATTTGCTTTATGGAAAAGCATGTCACCTTCCAGTGGATCTTGAACACAAGGCAAATTGGACTGTCAAGAAGATGAACTTTGACTGGAAATCTGCAGCAGAGAGGCGCCAGATACAGCTCAGTGAGTTAGATGAAATCAGACATCATGCATATGAGAACTCTAAGCTGTACAAGGAGAGGACCAAAGCCTACCATGACAAAAAGATCCTTGACAGACACTTTGAACCAAATGACCAGGTACTTTTGTATAACTCACGTTTACAATTATTTCCTGGAAAATTACGTTCTCGTTGGTCCGGTCTTTTCACAGTCAAGGAAACCAGACCATATGGTGCAATTGTTCTATCAACTCCAGAGGGCAGGGAATTTGTTGTCAATGGGCAAAGGGTAAAACATTACAGGGCGCAAGCCGCGATTCCCGAAGGACAGATTGTACCTTTGGTAGATGCACCCACAGCCTGATCCTGAGGACAGTCAAGCTAATGATGTTAAACGAGCTCTTGGTGGGAGGTAACCCACTGGTAAGTGTACATACTTAGTCTAATTTTTGACTTTTACGAACTTATTTTTGTAATATTGAGTTATATATATAAAAAAAAAACGAACATGGTGTCGAAGCGAGCACCACATGTCGACCACGGTCGACACCCTGGTCGACACTGAACCAGTGTCGATCGACACCACCTACCCAGTGTCGATCGACACCCTCATTAATCAGGTAAGTCGTTTTAAACCCCCGAACTCATCTTCTTCCCCATTATTCTCTGAAAAATGAAAACCACCAAATTTTTCTCCAAATCACAACTTCCTTTTTTGTTGACGGATTTGAGTGATTCAAAAGCCTAACTTGGGCGGAATCTTGTCCTTTTTCTGAATATCCAACTCATTCATTCGATCTGCAAATTATAACACTCGAAATCCACTTTTTCAGTTCGACCCCAAGGTTTGAAACTTCCAATTTGACCTGTTTTAGCTTGATTTAGGACTTGAATCATGCTCCTCTAGGTTGTTTGGGAGGTATTAGACCTTGCCCCTCGCTTATTACAGCTTGTTTTGCAAAATTTTGAAATTTTCGGATTGATGATCAATTTTGCAAAAATAGGTCCGAATTTGAGGTTTTAGACTGGAGTTGTTTGTGATTAGAGATCATTAAGTTGCTGGTTAGGTTCGCCATTGATGATATAGGCCAGATATTGAATTTTCAAAATTTCAATTTTTGGCCTAATTTTGGGAATTTTTGTGTTCTTGGTTTTCTGAGTGCAGATGGCTCCACGAAACAACAAGAGATCGCGCACCGAGTCTAAAGAATCCTCCAACCCCGCACTGGCACCTGCTGTACCAGCTCTTCCTCCATAGCCTCGGAGAGAGAGGATGAGGATCCCGATGGAGAGGGTTTGGGAGGATACTCCGGCGAAGGAGGTGGCGAAACGCGATTGCATTTTCCGGGACATCAGTGAGCAGTGGCACGATTATGACACATTGTTCTACAATGCCTGGGTCAAGATGGACTTTGCGCCTACACGGTTCGCAGATGAGGCTAAACTTTGCCACCTCGAGCTCAAGGAGGAGGCTCTACGAGTGCTGCAGAAGATTGGTTTGGGTACCATGGCGACCAAGCAGTACGATTTATACCCAGAGTTAGTCCGCCAGTTCATTGCCACGGCGAGGGTGTATCACACCAATGACATCGTGAGGAGAGCAGATGATGGCACTCTCACATTCCTCATTAGAGGCGTCAGGTACAGGATCACATTCCCTGAGCTATGTACCATCTTTGGGTTCGATTCAGAGCGCACTGGCGTCTCTCTCCCGACGCCATTTCCTGACCTGCAGAGTTTCTGGTCCCATTTCGGGAATGGGATGTATGATTCCAAGAGGTCTACTCAGACTGATGTGTGCCATCCGTTGTTGCGCTACCTGGTCCGCCTTTTCTCCACTACTCTCCTGAGCAAGTCTGAGCCCGGGAAGATGAGAGTTTCTAAGCTGACTCTCCTGTATTACAGCATTGAGGATGTGTTGACAGAGGAGTATCCGGTTGACAGCGATGTCAACATGGGAGCCATTTTTTCCCATCACATGGCTTCGCTGAAGACCAAGGCCTTCACTGGAGCTCGGGGCAAGCCAGAGAGTATTGGCAGTCTCCTCACTCCCATCTTCCGCTACTGCCGTATCGACACTTCGACTTGCAGAGTTGTGTCTGAGCGCCACCTCATAGACATGAATTACTTGAAGATGACACACTGGATCGCAGGAGATGAGCCGCTATGGAGCTTTGTTAGTCACACTGGTCAGCGATGCCTTATTCCGCTACCACAGACTGCTCTCACTACACTGCAGACAGACTCGCTCAGCTTCCAGCCTGATGCTACATTGCTACGATCCGGGCCAACTACTAGGCGCCGAGGAGGATCTTCCCGAGCTGCTGCTTTTGCTGCTGAGGATGCGCCTGTTGAGGGCCTTGCTGAAGATTGGCCCGGTCGAGGTGCTAAAGCGCGTCAATGACAACGCCTATCGTCTTCGTCTCCCCGCTCACATTCGCACCGCCGATGTCTTCAACGTCAAGTTTCTCTCCCCATTTCACGGTGATAATCCCGATCAAGATTCGAGGGCGAATCTTTTCAAACCTGAGGGGACCTGATGCAGCGGCATTCTTGTGTTGTCGAACAACCACACGAATTTACTTGTTCGACAAGTTCGGATTTCTTTTGGTGTTTTGTTTTTCTTTTATTTAAAGTTTAAGATAATTACAACAGTATTAGAAATTGGTTTTCAGAAAGATCCTACATGATCTCTTAGCTTCTATTTAAGTTGCTTTCGGTGTTGTTTTCAATTCATTCTTCATCTTAAAAAAATCAATAAAAACAAATAAAAAGAGGAAACTCAAGTTTCCCAAGAGCTTTCCCTGTGTAAAGTCCTGAGAGGAGGACTCTCGAACTCAACCGTATACGAAGACCACTTCGTAAACGTTTATCCCCAGATCGATACGAGTTCTCTTGCAGATCACGTAACCCAATTCGATATTGTGGCTCTCACCCCCTATCACTAAGGTATAGATTAATTATGGGCTTTTGGGCTTCTTTTCATTTCATCAAAATATAACCCACCTCATTACCCAATAACAACTGCCCATTAGGCTTTTTTTGCTGGACAGTTTAGAGTTTTTTTGAATATGTGGAATTGGGTCGTGACACATGGTCACTTGGTTCTCACAGGTTGTGCTTAGATACACTTTTATATCTTGGCTTGTAGTAAAGAAACTCTTAACAACTGGTGCCAGAATGCAAGATTGGGGATTAGTGCAAGGTTGTTCGTTATGTGGAGAACCAGATGAATCGAGGGATCATTTATACTTTGCATGCCTATATTCATACACGATTTGATAAATCTAGGAGGTTGCTTACTTGGCGCATCAGCTACATCAGAGTGGAACGACACACTAGATCACCTCATGATGGCTCAGCATACCTCCACGACTTCATCCTCCTACGGTTAATGGTCCAATTTTTTGTCTATCACATATGGCATGAGAAAAATTCGTGGAGACACCAACTGGGCTGGAAGATTCATCTACAACTCATCGAGGTTATTGATAAATCTATTGAAAAAAAAAGACCGTGTCTCTAAACTAGAAGTTCCCACATAAACTTGAAGGTCTACTCTGAAGATGGTTTGAGATCACCGTGATCTAATGGAAACATAATGAACTATTTTTACGCTAAATTATTTCATTCTCTATTCTTTCTGTTCGGTTGGTGACAAAAGATCTAAGGGTGTTTTTGTTGATGGACAATGGGATTGGATTGCTGGCTGTTCAACTCTCTCAGCTCCAATCACTGGTTGGAATATGAAACGATATGGTTGTCTTGTTGTTCAATTCTCTTTGGCTTGATCAATAGATAGATTTGCGTAAGTAACAAGTGTGGATCGATGTTGCCACAAAACTTTATGGAAGAAGGCTTCCATAGCTTGATAAAAGTTTTTGTTTAAATCTTTAGTTCTGAGCTTGTTCTTATGCTTGCTTCATGGTAGAGACTAGACCGGTTTGTCGATGTTGGCTGTTGAGATTGTATTAGTTGGGAGGCTAGTCTGTAAATAAATTTCTTCTTAGATAATTAATAAATTTGATATTTCATCCCAAAAATATATTAACTCAATCAAGTAAAAAAATTGAAGATTTATTGGATGACTTTATAGATGTCAATTATACATACGGGCCAGGTCCATCTAAGACCGATGTAGGGCAGCCTTAGACTGGCAAAAAAAGTCAATAAAACGGCGGGTTTAGCAGACCCGTGCGGGTGGCGGGTTGAGTGGGTAAGCCTGAAGCGGGTTTACGGGCCAGCAGGCAAAACCATAATAAATGTATGGTTTCATCAGATTTGGCTTTCATTCATGCAAATCCCCCATTGTTAGATCCGCTAACCTTCATTCTGCCATTGCTAATTCACAGTCAATCCTTATTTCCGTTTGGATTCCTCACAATATAGTGTCTATGAAGAAGATTTCTTACCGATCGAGTTGAACAAGTGCTTTGTGAAACTTAGCTATGAATTTTTGATGCTATTTATTTTCTGTATATAGAGTATGTGTGCAACTATTCACTCGCCCAAGCCGTCAAATTCGCCACTAAGAACGGCATTGTGATCGTCTGTGCTGTGAGCTATCCTTACTTGCCTTTTCTCAACAACTGGTTGATAAGTGTTTCGAGACAGAAGCATCTGGACAAAGTCCTTGTGATCACTGAGGATTACGCTAAGCCTTACAAGGTTAACGAGAAGTGGCCTGGTCACGCCATTCTCGTTCCTCTGGCGCTGGATTCTCAGACCACACACAAATTCGGTTCCGAGTTGTACTCTCTACACAGAGTTTCATAGTTGTAATCCAATTTCATATATAGCTTAGCTATACAATGGCCTAGAATTCGAATTTGTGTATCTGTCTTCATCTGATTAGGTAAGTGAGAGTGAATACTTAGCTAGATAATGGGTTAGAAATTCAGATTTCACGTATGTTTTTTCATCAAATAGTTAAATCTGGGAGTGAATACTTACTTATTACCTATTCATTTCTCATGCATATTTACTGATTCTTTCGTTAGCTAATGTAATAATAGTGGTTGCTCAGATCATTAGTTTGTGTAGTCTCTCGAGGTTTTTTGTTTGGTACACCCGTGACTGATGTTTTGATGCAGACTTCTCTATAGTTGTTTTGATGTTTTTATCAATAGAAATATTAGAGCATCATAATGTGTTTGACAAACCATATCTACCTTTATGCGAACTTTCTACTACAAGTGGATTTGTTACTCAAACTTCTGAAATTTAGAATCTTAGTATGATGCAGGTTAGAGTCTTCTACTACATGTGGATTTGTTACTAAGTATTTTATTTTCTTCAGAAGTTGCAGGTTTTTAAACATACTAATAGTTGTAGGTTTTCAGAAGTATGTGACCATTCATGCAGTTTCTTATTCTCAAGCTTTCAGGCTTGATTTACAACAAATTTCTGATTATTTCGTATCATCATTCCATATTTTCTTGTTTTGACATTTTTATATTTCGAACTATTTGTGTTTGCACATATCTGTTCTATTCCATTTGACAAGCATCATGATATTAGGATATAGAAAAATAACTTTTCAAATCTGAATGTGTTTTGAAAGTTTTCTATATTGTTGATCTTCCACGAAAATTGTATCTAAATTCTATGTTACAAACTATCACGCACAATTACAATTTTTAGGCATCCAAATTCACTATTATTATTTTTCCTCGACTTTGCAGGAGTTTTTTAGTCGAATGAAATTATTTCTCTTGAGAAGTTTGATGGATGCCTCATTGATAGCACACATTATTACATCATAATAGGTATCATTTAGCATAGGTTTTCATTTTCATTTTCATCCATTTTAGGTCCTAAATGTCCCATTTTCATCCATTTTAGACTTAGCTTGCATCAGATTTAGGATTGCATACATCCTTACATTTTGAATCTATTTTCAGGTCTTTGAGGAGCTTAGGGAAGCACTAGAAGAAGAATGGTGGATCGAGTGGAGAAGCGGAATCAGGCTCAAAGCAAGTTTTCAAACCGTCCAGAAACCATATCGTGGAGCCATAAAATGGAGGGCGCCATTTCCCCTGTTCGATGCGTACAAAGTCCGAGAGTGATAACCGAGATGCTGAGCCATGATTCATACCGTGCAACCGTACCAAGGAGGTTCATGCTAACCGAGTCTGGTACAAGAAGAGACAGGACATATTGAGGACTACACTGAGGAGAGCTATCTGATGCAGTGCATGGTACGAGCCATGATCGAGACTTCAGGTGAGCCAAACTTCAGACGCAGCACCTTCGGCATGCATCGAGAAACTGCAAGTTTGATCTTGAGGTTTATATTTTAATAAATTCTTGTATTTCCCTTTTAGTCTTTGTCTTTTATCTACTAATAATCATGTTTCACCATAATCTTGTAGATTTAGAGATGATTAGTGAGTAGTCAACTTTAAGTTTGAGATTAAGGCAAATTATGGTGTTTTGAGTAACTGATTAAGGTGTTAGGATGTTAGATCTTTGTTAATCTCTACATGTGTGATTGTGCTTACGGTCTAGTACCTCCCTTTATGAGAAATAGATCCTAGGCGTTTTTCTTGCACCTTAGGTGTTTGTTAAAATGTTTGAATGAGGTTCACTGCTAGAAAATAGTGTATTGATTGTCATGGCTCTTTGCATCTATTATTTCTTGCATGATTAAGCTTATTGCTAGAGTACTTTAGAGATTGAGAAAATGCCATTAGACATTGATTATGCTTGGAATTGTAAGTTGGTGTTTGACCCATTGTATAAAAGATTAGTGTGCTTAGCCTAAGGAATTAGTTGTCTAAAGTGCTTTTTGTCTTTGTGGACTTTGTGTCTAAAGCTAGATGATTATTTTTACACCATTGAAAGTAGATTATGAGTGATCAGTAAAGGGATTAGTGCCAAGATATTTAATAGTAATTCTTGCTTAGGGATTGATGGATTGATTGTTTGTGCCACACATTGATCATGATTTGAACCATCCAAGTCATATTGCCTTAGTCTTAGACCATTCTTTTTATTAATTTAAACTAGTCAATTACCTGCTCTGTTTTACTCTATTTTTCTTGCCATTAGAATTGCTCTTGTTTAGTGTTTATGCCTTGGTTATATTAGTTACATGTTTACACTAGTTTGCTTGATTGATTGTGAACCCATTTTGAACCCTTTTATTGCCTAGCTTAGCAAGACTGTTGTATACTCTCTATACCCTCCTAAGCTTGGATTGATTAACTCATTTGCCACTATACTACATCTAGTGCAATGAGATTGCACTAAGCGTAAAAAGTTGTGTGTCAATTGCGACGTTGCCATGTTTGAGGATTGGTCTATTGAAGTTTAATTTCTTGCTTAGACTATAATCTTTATTTCAGTACTGAATTAATTTACTTTTGTTTATTTCAGGTACCACTTGTATGAACCTAAGGTCTGAAGGCTCCTATAATGTTCTACAAAGAGTTGACAACATTCTTCATCTTGATAGAGGAGTAAGAGCAAGAAGGGAACGTGTTCAGCCTCAAGAGGAGTTGACTCTGCCTGATCAGGTTAATCCACAAAATCTGGAACCAGAAGTATCACCACCACAAGCTCCTGGTGTTTCACAACACGTCCAAGAGCCTCATCTTGAGAGAGCTCCTTTACATGAAGTAAGAGCTCCAAGATAAATAGGAGCTGGTGATACTCCTAACACTTACATCAACAGGAATGGAATCCTTGTCCCTCCAGTTTAGTAAAACCACTTTGAGATCAAGATGGGACTCATCAACTGGGTGCAAGCTAATAGGTTCCATGGGTTACCAATGGAAGACACTCTAGACCATTTGGACCAGTTTGATAGGATTTGTGCAATGACCAAGATACAAGGAGTGAGCGAAGATGGTCTAAAGCTAAGGCTCTTTCCTTTCAGCTTTAGAGACAAAGCTCATCCATAGGAGAAGACTCTACGTCAAGGGTCCATAAGTTCTTGGAATAATTGTAAAAAGGCTTTCTTGGGAAAGTTCTTCTCATACACAAGAACAACAAAGCTTAGAAACAACATCTCAGGCTTCTCTCAGCATTGTAATGAGACCTTTTGTGAGGCTTGGGAGCGTTTCAAAAGCTACACATTTCAGTGTCCTCACCATGGTTTCAGAAATGAGAGTCTCCTAAGTACTCTCTATAGAGGAGTTCTCCTTAAATTCAAAATGCTCCTTGATATTGCAAGCAATGGGAATTTCTTTAGTGAAAATGTTGAAGAAGGACTTGAGTTAGTAAAGAACCTTTCTCTTTCACATAAGAACTATAATGATGATTATGACAGGACTACAAGGAGCTCTCCACAAGTGAAGGAGATAGCGCCACTAAGAAGGTGATTAAAGCTTTACATGAGAAGCTAGACAAGCTCTTGAACTCTCCCTTCAAGGCTGTTAACTTTGTGGGTGAAGCTGGTCAAGTCTAAGAGGAAGAACATGATCTTTAAGAAGAAGCCTTCTATATGAATCAACAAGGTGATGGTGGCTTCAACAACTACAGAAATCATCCTAACTTCTCCTATAGAAGCATTAATGTGGCCAACCCACAATACCAAATCTACCCTTCTCAAGGTTAAGTGAACAAGCCTTTTGTCCCCTACAACCAACAGCAAGGCTTTGTCCCTAAACTGCTATTTCATAACAACCAAGGAGGCTACGAACCAAAGAAATATCCACCTGATTTTGGCAATGCACAAGGCTCTTCTATGACCATGATGCAGAAATCAAGCAAATGGTGCAACAATTGATTAATGGCCAAGCTACTGCAACCATTGAGCTCCACAAGATATTTACTGAGGTACACAACAAGATAGACACCTCCACTTGTGATTTTAACTCCAGGATAGATGCCATGAATCAAAGGCTGAAATTTCTTAAGAGCAAAGGCTTCTACCTCCAAATAGCCAATGCAACTTCCTGAAAAAAGTGAAGCAAATCCAAAGTATTATTGCAATGCAATCACCAATGAGGACATTGAGTCTAAGTGTGGGGGGAACGCCTCTAGCTTGAGTGTTACTACTGAAGAAGAGAACAAGGTCATTGAAGTGTTTCCCTTGAGTATTGCTGAAGATGATAAGGTTAATGAATCTGGAGTGGTAAATAAACAAGATGATGAAGTGAATGAAGATGATAAGCTGGTTGAGGTCTTCCATGCTTTGAAAGCACTTGCTAAGGAGACACTTCTACAAGCACAAACTGAATCTAAGAAGGTGGATGAGAAGCCGTCAGCCAAAGAAGAAGAAGCATCTTTAAAGGATTTGGTTAAGTATAAACCTCCACTTTTTTTTCCTAGGCGAATTCTCACTAAAGCTCAAAAGGCTACTCTCTCCAAATTTAGGAAGCAAATGCATGAAGCTGGTACTCTCTTACCCCCTCTAGATACAGTGACGTAAGTCAAGGACCAACTAAATTTCATCAAAATGGTCCTTGAGAATACACACAAGGTGAGGACTTTGGTGAACTCTCTTGATAGTTTTAACAAGCCAAAAGATGAGCCAAGGGTTCTCCATAAGCTAAGGAATCCAGGGAAGTTTGTTGTTGCATGTGAGCTTAGAAGCTTAGACAAGATCGAAGCATTGTGTGATTCAGGCTCCAAGTGTCAATGTAATGTCATTGGAGATGACAAAGAATTTGAGAATCACCAAGCTGAAGGATTATGGGTCTACAATCTCCTTTCTAGATTCATCAATAAGGCAGCCCATGAGGTTCTTTGAAGACTATCCCTTGAAGATTTGGAATTGTATAATCCCAACAGATTTTAAGTGATGGACATGGGGCAGTCTAAAGATCTCCCTTTGCTATGTGGGGCGCCATTCCTGAACACAGCAGGTGCTGAAACTAACTTCAACTAGAAGATAGTGATGCTTAGAAATGTCAATGAAGATTTGAAGTATGAAACCAAGCCCCCTTATTCAAACTTTTTTGGGACAATATTAAGTGAGGAGCTAAGTGCTGAGGAGGTTACTGAGAAGGTTGAGCATGCTATGGGCTTCAATGTCGATTTTGAAAGAAGGCAGCCCACTAGACCACAATGAGTATCAAGGAGAAAACTTTGATAGGGAAAGCCTCTTGATGTTGTTTGAAGGTCCAAGTGTGGAGGTTAATGATGAGGGTCGTAAGGACAAGAAGTGGTTCAGAACCAAGAAGAAGAAGGCTCAGTCTGGAGCCAATCACTTGTTTGTCAAGAGAGGAGAAGGGAAAACAATTCCCTTTCATGCTCCTCATTGATCTCTAAACCAAGCAAAGTTAAGCTTAGTGACTTTAAACAAACACAGTTGAAAAGTATTATGTTGATTCTAATTGCAAATGAGACTAAACTGCTAAACTATA